GGTTTTTTTTTTTTTTTTTTAACTACATACCTCTTCCATTCTAAGCTTTTCACCAGTTTATTTCTATCATTAACTCAATTTTCTCTTTAACTTTACAGTTCACTTTTGGAAACAATCCAAAACATTGTGTGGAGGGTAGTGAGGTGGGAGGAACATTTAATGTTTTAAAGGATTACCAGACTTAGGTGCTACGTTTCGAGGTGTTGCTTTTCAGCAGTGCCATTGTACCATACTGTCTGCTATTTCTCTAAATGTCATCAACTTGTCAGCTCATAAGCAGGTGTAAACCTTTCTTCCTCCCCAAGTTCTCATGTTTAGTGATGTCAATGGAAGTCTGCAAAGAGTGTTGTGTCAAGAATACTGGGCAGGCAATTTAAAGATAAACATTTCTCTTCAAAATTAATGTCATTTTGTTGCTACAGCAAAAGAAAGCAACAACACATTTCTAACTGGATTATTAAGTCCTGAAAACAGAAGAGGTGCCTGGGAGGCTGCACTCAGAAAGCACTTAAAAGCCCAAAAATCACTGGAATGTGCAAGTAATGGAAGCAAATTATAAAATAAACCAAATAAAAATATCCAGACATGGAGAGATGAGCATTTTATACCAAGCCACACACATCCTAAATTCCCCAGTTGATACTTACGTCAAAAGGCAAAAAGTCCTCTGTTTGACTTTTTATAAAACAAATACATATTCTCATCATGCACTGAGATTTACTAAAGAAAAAATGAAATTCTAGGATTTTTTTAAAGTCAGTAATGTACAGAAAGCCAGGACAGCAAGTGGAATTTCTGTCCTTCCAGGTCTTGTTAGGCATCAACAGGAAAAACAGGTGAATGGTTTTAAATCACCAGTGTGTGGGACTGTTGACTTATCATTTTTAAGCAGGGTTATACTATGCGAAATACTTAAAAAAAAAAAAAAAAAAAAAAGGAAAAATATCTTTAGCATTCTTTAACATTTCTAGCACACATTATCTCTTACAGGAATGGAATATAAGTTAATTATATGAAATATGAGTAACTGAACAACTTTCAGTGCTGCTGAACTGAATTTAGAATCAAATGCTTCATTGTTAGACTGAGAGATAGCAGGAAAAATTGAAGATCATCTGACTGTGTCTTGGATATAAAAAATTCAACTATTTTTAATTAAATTTCTGAATAATTCCCAAGGTGTTATTCCAAGAAGACACAAATGTTTGCAGATAAAGGGGAAGGAAAATAAGGAAAATATAATCTTAACTATTTCAATGAAGAGAGATCAGTGTTACAAGTCTGGATTTATTTGCTTTTTAAAAAGACATGAATCTGGAAGCCTTCTAAGGAGATGACAATTTAATACTGGGTGAGGTATTATAAGAAAAAGTAGTAAAGTTACATGCTATTCCTCTAGAGCTATTCAGCTGTTCAGGCAGCAAGGCAGAGAATTAAGAGCTGCAACTTCACTGAATACTGTTTCTAGTAACTTCAGTCAAGTTGTTTGGCTATTAGGTTCTTCAGAAATGAAGTGCAAGAAGTGGAGTAACTATCTCATTTCTGATTATAAGTCTGCAAAATGGTATTCCTGCTGTTGCTATTGCCTTTCATCCTAGCATGGCAAATGGGGTAACACTTGTCATAATTTTTGGACAATAATTTTGTTATAATCTTGGTTCCTATTTGCTGTGGCTACTATGATAAAAGTCTATTTCATTCTGAAATTGTATTAAGCATACCTGGAAATAATAATACTTCAATTTTTTTCTTGCTGTTTAAGTAAAAATAACATCTGAAAAGATGAAAAATATTTAACACTAAGTAAATGAAAATACAGCAAACAGAGAGCATATGTGTAATACAAATTTTGGGACAGTCTTGGGACATTATTTTAAAATTAAAAATAAAAACAGAAGAATAAATAAAAGGGCACTGAACTGGGGACTCCTAAACTACAGAAGCATCTCTTTCTCCTCCTTTCTCTTTTCTGTTTTACTTCTTTCACCTCCCCCCAAACGAGTGATTTTTTTGCTTTAACTTGACAAGTATTTCACAGTTTCTCAAGCATTTAGCAATGAGGATCTAATTGGAAAGTGCCAGGTTCTTTCTTATTACACTTTATCAATATTGTTAAGGGAATGATGTAATTGTTTGGGGTTTGGTGAAGACATTCCATGTCACTTCAGTGTTAATACCAGGCTGGAGCCTTCCTTGTCTGCCTCCGTAAGCTAGATAAACATAGACCTGTGTGCTTTCTTCTCATCTCAGGATACTTACTCAGAGAGATCTTGGAACATATGCCTATTGCGAGCTAAACATTTCACTTTTCATTTTTATCCATGTGCCAGAAATCCATTCCTAGGATAAACACTTTACATACTGACACTCTTAAAGTCACTAAACACGATAAATAAAGAGAGAATACATCATTTCAAAACTGATTAAACATTTTCTCACTTGTGACAAATGAACAGCTAAACATTGTATGGAGTCCCTGGAGCAGACATTCCATTTTCTTTGTCTTCATTTTGTGTGTAAGATTAACTTTCCATTTCAGCTCATCTATTGCACAACTGAGCTTTTTAAAAATACACATTGCTGCATTTTCCCCAAATAATTTTTCATTTCAGAAACATTTTTTGTTATTGCTACAAGAACTTTTCTTTTGGACTTTTGTATTTTAATAGAGACAAACTAACAAAGAAAATAATAATACTAATAAAAAACCCATAGTTTTTAATGAAAGCTAAAGAAATGCTCCCATGCAGTGGACCTGAACTTATACATGGGTTGAAGTCATCCACTTCAACAAGGAAAATCCAAGCACATTAATCACATTAACTCTGCTCCATCTAATCCATCACTTTTCCTTGCACTACTTGCTTGTCTCGTCATCCTATGCACTGCTGTCTACCTATGATTAGTCAAATGCAACTAATCTTTTATTTAGCTTCTTAAGCTCCTATCATCTTTTTCATCAACTCCTGCCAAAAAGGACCCCAAGCATTTTATTTTCAAGCTAAATTAAAAATCTGACTGAAATAATCGCACATAATACTAAAACTGTATATGAAGTTGTCTTCAGTGTTCTAACAAAAAACACTAATCTGATCAAGAATTTCAGTGGGAAGGTGGAAGGAAGAAAGAAAATATCCTTGCTAGATATCCAGAAAAAGGAGAAGCAATGAAGCAGAATTTTCTTCTTTGACAAATTGTGGAAAAGGAGCTGGGAGAAGAAAGAATTAGGGATTAAAGTTATAAGAAGCAGACCAAGCTGAACAAGAATCCCCAGAGCAGTTTGCTTTCTTCTCCCATCAGGCTAATAAAACCAATATAAAGGTTTTGATATGATGGTTCCAGTCTTGTCAGGGAAAAAGATTAGAAGGGAAAGTGAATTAGATACCAAAAGACAGTGGTAAGTCACAAGATTTCTGAACAGATTCAAGATTCCACTGTCATTAGATTTCTGTCACCTTTGGATTTGTAGTCAAATCCACTTTTGACAGGACAAATATTTTCTTGAAAAGAGCAATTAGAGATCACAACAATCTCCTAACAATGCCAACTTCTCTCTAAGTTTTATTGTGAAGGAAAATTTTAAAGATAAGAATTATGTAACAGAGCAGCTAAACAAACCTAAGAAATGTCAGGAATGCCTTTCATATATTTGAGCAAGAGGTGTGATACTAAGTCAAAGCAATACCCTAATATTATCTCAGCTTTTTAGAGCATCGTGCTAACAGCACCAAGGTTGTGGGTTTGATCCCTCTAAGGGCCATTCATTTAGGAATTGGACTTGGTGATCCTTGCAAGTCCTTTCCAACTCAGAATATTCTGTGGTTCTGTAATGAAACTTAAGGCAACACAGACCTGCTCAAAGCAGCTGTGTGTGATTCTTTTACACTCCCTTTCCACACCCCTAATGTGCCATTGAAGGACCTACCATCTCCTCACAAGTAAGAAGGGAGGTTCTTGTGGCACTCATTCCTCTTGGCTTCTCTTTCAGGTATTATCTTTAGTATATGTCCCAAGGGAATAGAGAAAAAAAATGTGACGTTGTACCAGGAAAGACATCAACCGCCCTGTGGCATTACTGCAGGTAGCAAATTTGGGTGTTGAGGCCATAGAATGGCTGACAAATCTAGTAAAAACTAGAGACTTTTATAGTGATATCTTTTAGAGGAATCTTATTGAGAGACTTCATAAGTCTGGGAATATATAATGGATAAATTCATTAGTAGCTATTAAGTGATAGTTGTAGCAAGTACAAAAAGAAAATGCTATTTTCAGTGAAAGAAAAACAAATACAGACTGTGAATTTCCCTAAATTTGGGCTATAAATGCTGTGCGCCATATTTTGATCTCTTTCTGGGACTGATGTAAAACTTTCCCACTTAAACACTGCTGCTAGAGAAGTCTCCAAAAAAATCAGAACAAACCACATATTGTGCAATGCAGTGAGGTTCCCAGTTTTGAAAACTGTCTCAACTGCACACATCCATAATGAAATTTAATGAGGTATTTTGCTTTTTGCTACAAAAAAAGTATTTGAAGATCTACTAGCAATTCTACAAAGGAAGTCACATTTAATTATACATCTCATTTGTTTATTAAAAAAAGATTTTAATTTATTTTTAAATAAAATGGACATTTTATAAGCACAGGAAATGGTACCTAACAAATAATACTTTTTTGGGAAATGAGAAATACCTCTCAAATCACCATGGTACTGGTGTAGTATGAACAGTGTTCTCTCAGTCCAAATGGTACACTCTAAATTTATTTTTACCTATGGTTAATGCATTTTCTGAAAGACAGGAGTAATGTACAATAATTCTTTAAAGAATTTCAATCTTTCTTCATTGTGAAATTAAAATTGACAATAACTAAATGTCACTTTTCTTTCTGAGTGCATTTCTATACCACTCAAAAACACAGTAATACTGGCTACCAATACATCAACTGCTAACACCCCCATATTTTTCAAACAAAGGCCTTACTACATTGCTCTTTCTTACCTTTTATGTGCTTCTGTCAGTGACTTCTCTTCATTTTCTTGGTCTATTTTGGCTGTAAAAAGACAATCAAATAATTAGTAACAAGGTGAAAGATAGAGATGTTCCAGGATAATTTCAATTTTCCATATGTCATGTGTAAAATATATAGAAACCACCTGAGGATACACTCATGTAGATGAATTCCGAGAAAAAAAACAAGCAACTAACCCCCCCATTCAACAAACAATCACACAAACAAAACTACACAAATTTTGATAACTCTATTAAAAAGAAATCCAAAACCACTGCCACAAAAAGAAACCAATCCAAAACTCAAAGCCTTGAAAATGAAAAAAAAAATCTTCCAGTAATCTAAACAACCAAGTCATGAAATGATGTAAAACCAGATCTTAAATAATGATTCCAAAAACTCAAATAATATGGGAACTTGTCTATCGAGAGGAGGAAAAGCTGAGCAAAGAGCAGGAAGGATTCCACCTTACAGCTTTTCTACAAGTTGCATGGCAATTACGAATGAAAACTCTTCCCTCTCCCTGTACACAGATCCATCAGTGAAGTACTAGAGCTGTAGCAGGCCTGTATTGAAAACATGGCTAGTTTTATATGAAGGATATTAGCATCTGGTGATCATGTGAAGGAAATTAATATTTTAATTGTATTATTGTATCTATATAATTAATATTTTAATTGTATTAATAATAAAATAAGAAACTGTCCTTCCCAAACACTGGTGAAAAAATTCTCTATTTGCCACATGTTCTTTCATAATTTTTTTGCACACATTTCACTTAACTTAGATGACTGAAAGAACACTTAAAAAATCTGCAAAAATGTGCTCGATAACTTAGGCATCACCAATGTGCAAAGCAACTGTCCAACTGCTCTGAGCATTAGCTTAGGTGAAATTTTATACTTATGCAGTCATTCAGGTAATACAACTAAAATCTCATTTAAAGTCTGCATGCTTAAACAAAAGCTCTTTTAATTTGGTACTTGATTATTTTTTCAGTCTGGAGACTTCTGAACTTTTAACTTGCAAGGAGAATTATAGGATTCCCCAGAGTCAGAAAGTTTTGAAACATGAAAAGGCTCTGAACTGTCCTGGTAACAAATGTCAATGCTATAAAATTCATATAGAAATCTAAAAAAGAAGAAACCTTTCAGCTATTTTTATTCCACTTTCCCAACATAGCTCTACAATATTAATTCATTAAAATTATTTTTCCGCATCATAGATACTCTGACTTAGAAAAATTTTAAATTTGTTGAAAAAAAGCAAAGCAATGGCATAATTAAGATACAAAGATAATCACTGTTTTTCTGTTAAAATGTTTCAATCAACAGTAATTTACAAACATACATTCAAATAGGCATGTGAAATCTGTAGCAAAGACATACAAATGGAATTGTCTTATACTTTCCCCAGTCACAACAATGATCAGAGCTTTGTCTAGTGCTGCAAATGCTTTTTATTAGTAGCAATGTAGTCTTCTGAGCAGTAACACTGCTGACTAGTGCCCAGATATTTGCAGTGGGTAATGTATTTAGTAATCATTACTTAAAGACTTGGGCTCCACCATTGTTATCCTGAAAGTGAAAAAAAAAAAATCCCAGCAAACCACAGAAAACTTGAGAGAGAGCTGGGTAAATGTTCTCAAGGAAATTGAAGAGCACGTGAATCCTGAATGATTACAGGTTTCAATACCAACTTGAATCTTGGCCCAGATTCTTCAGAAGGTTTGTGAGGGCTCACAACTCTTCTGAGTGAAGTTGAGCCCAGTGCTGAGTGAATTTGGGCTGACTTAGAGTTTTTCTTGAAAGCCTTGCATTGCTTTGGATAAGAAACCAGGTGAAATGTGGCAGCTTTTACAGAATTTCATTAGTACTTTTCTTTTTTTCCCTACTTTAATCCTGAAAATCAAGGCATGACCAGTAAAAACATATAGTTCAAAAGAGAAGCTGCGCACAAGCTCTCTGGATGAAACGAGATCAAACACCTCATTCTGCATTAACACAATCACTAAGTATCTGTGGATACACCTCTTAAAATAAATAATTCTATTACTGCAAAATGGAATTTGGACTTCTTTCACTTAAACAATGCTTAGAAATAGAGGCTACCATATTCCATCCTACAACAGTATTGTATACTATTACACGTGTCGTATTTTTAGGACATAAATATTTTTATCATTTCCAAGACTGATGGAATGGAATATCATTAGAGTTGCCTTGTTTTAGGTCCTTTCTTCTTTATTTCAAATTTTCTGCACATGTTTACAAACAATTATTTACCCACTAGTAATGCAGCAAATATTCCACAATTTATTTTTTGAAAGAGTATAAGCATATTATCCTAAGCTTATCAAAGCATGTCAGAATATCCCCATTTGGGCACAAGCCTCCTTTCAATTCAAAAAATAAAGTTATTGTGATCCAGAGAAGAAGAAAAAAAACAAAGCATAACAAAACCAAGTTATTTTTGGTATCTATACTTTCAGTAAATTAGAAGAGAATTAGTATTACACAGTGAAAAGAAACTGTAGAACCCTGAATGGCAGAGATGCATGTAATAAAGAATTCTCTGAAGAAATTCCTTGTAGTTTGCTCCAAATGTGATGACATTTTTAAACCTTCCTCATTGTACCAAAAAGGTATTATGCAGGTGAAAATTTAATTTGCAACCCTTTTGCATTATAGTTTTTCTAGACAGAAAAAGTTAAAGATATTATGAAAACAATTCTTCTTCCACAAGACAACAGGTGGCACCAGTGAAAGGGAAAACATGGTATATGCACTCTGATCTGTCCCTGTCCAAAGAAAATAACCAGATGACTGCTTTTACACTAGACATAGTAAACATCCAAGAGCTGTGGAAAATGGCTAGCTGAAGACATGCAGTGAAATTTCATTGGTAAGGGAAGAAAAGCTCCTATTATCAAAACAACATAATTTTTACTATCACCTGGATACAACGGAATAAGTATCAGATGTTGAAGCAGCTGGAGATGGCTGTAACTTGTGGAATGGGAATAGTATCACCTGATATTAGTGGTTATATGCACTTTGCTCTGTACTCATCACTACTCCATTGGTAAACTACTTCCAATTGCGTTTTCCTCTCTGAGTAGGGGCAGGAAAAATTTAGTTATGATGGATCAACTTGAATTGTCCTAGAATGCATTATACTTCATCACTTCACTCAGTATTATGCATCTATATTGTCACTTCCTCCTCCAAAGCAGTTCATCACAGGTGTAAAAAGAGTGCATGAAAGGCACTGGTTTGGCTTCTTCATTCTTGGCATATACCCATTAAGTGCCAAATGCCAGCTAAAAGTTGCCCACCTTGGAGGAACATTCAGGGGAGAAAAGTGCACTTCCCTGTTACAAAGACAACACCTATAGCAGGTGAAATGAAAAAAAAAAATTAGCATCTATACCCAGTCCACAGTGATCATGACATAGTGATCATCAACGGCCAACACAGAAAAATTAGATAAATCCTGGGATACCATAGCAGTTGACCATATCTGAGCACTCTCTTCTGCCTCTACAATTACCCTCTATCTTCTAGAAATAAGACTATTTCAAAAATATTATTATTTGATTTTGTTTGAAAAACATTAAAGAAATCTTATAGTCATGCAGTATCCATATCTGCTTTAATATATATTTGAAATCCATCAGCTAATATAGCAGTGACTGCTTGCAGGTTTTCTGATAGATGGAGGAATTTCTGCTTTTGGGTTCGTATTCTTCCCAAATATTATATTGGCTCATCATCTTTTCTAACACTCCCAGCTAAGAACTTGATTCTTGACACTAATTGCTGAAGTACATCCAAAGAAACTGTTCCAAATCTATCAAAGACTATATAATACCAGGAAATACTAACCCCTCTATTTTGTGTAATGCATTGGTAAGCAAAAGTAGCAGATTTATATGTTGGCCTTCACACACTGTCTATATTGTAGGGCTTTTCATGCAGCTTTCATAATCCTGAAGGCATATATGTTCTGAAAAATCTACTACAAATAATATAGTGGAAAAATAACCTTAGGTCATATTGAAAAACATGGCCATCCCAAAACTCACAGCATCTTAGAGTCAAAGTGACCTCTAACAGAGTGAAGCTACCTTATCAATGGTTTACAACATGTACTGATTTAGTTATAATTTCCCTTTTCAGACTGAAAGCATCTTTAATGCCTTCTTGTTGGATGACATTCCACTGTTTGCCTGCTTTTTCCATTAAGATACCTTCAGATTATTTAAAGTTGGTCTCCTTTTAGAGCAAGGTCTATACTTACTAAACACTTTATATATTTGGTCCAAATTCAAGTACATTCCTTCCTCCCTACGTCATTGCTTACCAAGTGTGAGGACTGTACTATATCCAAGGCTCTTATATAAATTCTTTTAACTACAGGACATATGTATCTCTTCAAAAATTACTTGCATCAGATGTCCTAATTTCTATTCTATTACTTTTTTTTTTAAAATTTGCTTAAATTTACTGCTTGGTGTTTTATAATTGGGGCATAAAACTTCATTTCATGCAGTTCAAAATGAGCTTTCAAACAAGATCTCACAAATGAAGTCTAATTAACTGAATTCTCAAATCTTCTGTCCTTATCAGCACATACCCACATTCCAGAATGATACATGCCATTGTTTTTTGTGTGTTTGCTCTTCCAATTCTTTTTTTTAATTAGAGTCCTGCAAATCTTGCATATAAGCATCTACAAAAGCACATAAATGAATAATTATACTAAAGTGACCTATGCATTTATGAAAATCTGATGTATCTCACCAAACAGAATATGAGAAATAGACACAGGCATTTTAGAAAATGCTGGTCTTCAGAAGAATTGTAAAATTCACTTCTCTATAAATAGTATTTTGTTTTCAAGAAGCCTAGAAGATGAAATTAAATTAAAAGGGGTTCAAAGGCAAGGATATAAACCATTGATTGACCACAAATTGTCCCCTCTGACCTCAGTGGATCATTTTGGATGTTATACTAAGTTCTCTGCAAAAATCAAGACTG